GCTCAGGGAGCGCGTTTGCCAGGCGTTTGTTTGCTGAGAAAACCCATTATCCGAATTACTTGGCACCGTATGCGTTTTAGACCTATTAACATGCCCGCAATAAATTCACATACGGCGTTACAGTTACCGCCAACGAATTCATAATATTCTAAATTCTTCTAAAACTTCTGTCCTACTTTTATTTTTGGTGTTCTATGAGTGAACCAGTGAAACCTGTGTAAATCCAGGACAGTATGCTACTGTCAACGCAGTAGTGCGCTCGTCAGCGCTGAGTCCTTATGCTAACGTAACAATAATAAGGATAAGATAAAAGCATTTGCCGTTGATCAATCCCGTTTTGGGATGCGGCACGCATCTACTTCCATTTGTACATTCGTAGTGGCATTTGAATGCGATGTGGCCTATACAATGACTTGCGGGGGCCAGCCGATGTACAAGTCAGTGTTTTTTATCCTCCCAGACAAGTCTGGTACCAATTAACCGACCCCGGAATAAGGTTGGCCCGGGCGACTCACGACCCAGGATTTGATCCCCGGACCGCTCGCGTGGTAAGCGTGCCACTTGCCGCTAACCACTTCCGCACAGTTCGTAAGCATAAGCGAAGTAAAGTTGTAAAAGTAATAATTATTAGCCTTTTGTGTTCTGCCTAGGTTTTGGAATTTCTTCAAAGTAGCTCAACTCCTATCGACCCCCGTTTTATGTACGCTACAGAGTGGGGAATCCTTGATAGAAATCGATCAAATTGCTTTATGATAACCTGCTAAACAGAAGGATGTGCTGACTCGTAGTTTTTCTCGACACTCTCGGTTAATTTACTAAAGAAGGGACCCGAAAAGGTCACTCCGCCATGGCTTACATCCACCAACTTTCCTCGCACAGGTGCCGCTGTGAGAACTTATGGGACCTCCAGGGAATATTCCTAGATATCCCCCCATAAGCAGAAACAGCCCCTCCCCAACTGATATCATCGTGTTCATAATATAACGTCATCTGCCATTACCGTCGCCTACCGTAATCGATCCAGTCTGAAGCTGCTGAATAATTCCTCTTGGTCGCTTAACGGTGTATAGAGAGTAGGTCCAACAATGCAAGACCGCTTTTGACAGCGTTTCAAAAGCGTTATAGTGGTTCACGAACCATCAAATACCTCGTTGAAGCTCGTACCGTGCACCATGTTCTCGAAGTTCCGAAGCAAAATCTTATGATGTCGTCAAGACAAGAAGGCTATGATGTTCTCCGACAGACTGGAATGCGCTTTTCAAATTCATTTCATCCTTCGGTTTGAGTTCGGCAAAGGTATTTAATTCGTTTCAAATGTAGAATGGGTGAGGTTCCTCTTCTTTTTTGGCCTCCCTCCCTGTACAAATTCATAGGGCCAACAAAAACTCCACTGACGAAAAATACAACTTTGTTTTTTGTTTTCAAGCTCTTTAATCTTCTTTCTTTGGAGCTCATTTTTTTCACGTGTAAATCCATATTTATATAAATACATAGAGTTCAGTATTTATACTTACTGGCTCTATGTATATTCAAGAGCTTCATAGAGTACCGTTGAGCCGGTGCACGTGATGTCGCGAAACCACTAAGAATCAGTTCAATAGCCTACCCCTACCACTATTGAACACCTTTTTGTCTAATTCCGCAATACTTGACACGCCGCGACCCCTGCCGTAAAGGCGCGTTGGATGGCGTAACGTGTAAATGCCAATTTTTCAATTCTTTCTCCAATGGATGCGCCACTGGCTCGGTTCCAGCACCGAAATCACTCTTCCTACTGCTTGAAGAGTAATATGCCGCAATTCGAGCAAAAATCCTCTGTCAATGCACTTGTACGCCACAGCCCAAGAATACCTCAATTGACGAAAAAAAAAAATAAGATTGTTTCGCTATCTTGCAATTTGCAAGGCGAGCGTAACTTAACCAGTCTTTTCTGTAAGTTCAATGATGGTCTACTTAAATATATATATATATTATATTAATAGACTTCGCTTGCCCATTTAACTCCATTGTCACGATATTTGAACGCATTATTCTCGAAATGCGAAAAATTTGTCGTCAACAAAGAATCGAACTAAAGGGACCCTTCTTTGGTAATTTTTTTTCAGCAGCCCCGTTCTATGGGAAAAAGCCGGATCAAGGATGCTGTGGTTTCCCCATTCCCGCAATTTTCATTGCAAGACGCCATTTGCAACAGCTGGCACTATTGTTTGAATCTGACTCCCTTTGTAAGTGACGCGTTCGATTGCAAAGTGCTGCGAACTCTGTAGTGAGGAGCTACACACTTTACACCGGAGAGCGACTTCACTGAGGTTGAGCCTGGACTTGCTTCTGAAGATTAAAAACCGTTAAAGGATAAAGGATAAAGCATTTGCCGTTGATCAATCCCTTTTTGGGATGCGGCACGCATTCTACTTCCATTTGTACATTCGCAGTGGCATTTGAATGCGATGTGGCCTATACAATGACTTGCCAGCCGATGTACAAGTCAGTGTTTTTTTATCCTCCCAGACAAGTCTGGTACCAATTAACCGACCCCGGAGGGATGGAAGGCTTGGTTGGCCCGGGCGACTCACGACCCAGGATTTGATCCCCGGACCGCTCGCGTGGTAAGCGCGCCACTTGTCACTACACCACTTCCGCCCCTAAAAAAAGCCGTTAGATTCTCAAAAATGAAAAGCCATGTCATTGTCAAAAAAACTCATTAAAGATGTGCGAATACTACATATTTACAGGAAACTCCTTGTCTATGTTCACAAATTCTTGGTCGAATAAATATTGCAACTTCCTTCATTATTTCACTCCCGTTCCTCACCACCTTTGTACCGTGCTATAAGTCCAGTACAATGACTGCTTTACCAAAGAGAAAGCATGATTTTGTCTATGCTCAAGAGTAATATTTTCAGAGTATTCTTCGTATTCCGCACATTCACTTGAGGTGGCATGTCATGCTTTAAATATTTCCAGCCTACTCCCAGTGACGTTCGAAGCGACATTACTCCAAATATCAGTGTTAGTCCTATGCAATCAAAACGTAATACTTCTTTTTCCCTTACAATATGGACTTTTTTTTACAGTCCTGTACAAGTCTTTTTTTGCACAAGGTGAATCGCCAATGACGAAAAAAAAAGAAAATGAGTCGTTCGAAAGATAGGCAAATTCGTTCATTTCTTGGTTGAGGAGAAGAGACGGTCAGGCAGGCCCGCTAGGGGTTCAGAACGATGCGCGTTTTGCAGCAAAAGGTGCCCTGGAGATCTTGCATGGTCGTATTCAAATAAGTAAAGCCATGAAATTTTCCATATGGTGCTTGTTTATGGAAACGTAAAATGGAGAAGTATAGCTGGGAAAAAGAACCATCAAAATCTGCAACCGTCCGGGACGTCCTTTAGCTTATATAGTGTATAGGGTAGCCTACAATCCACACGGCGAAACTGATACTGTAAAACACCAAGGAGCTCCTGCAGTATGCCAAGACAGTGACGCCCTTTTGCTCAAATATGGCCTTTTGCCCACATATGGCTTTTGTTCAGAGAACAGTGCCAAGCGCTCATCACTGAAAGTTTCAAATCCATCAATCAATAGTTTTTTGCCCAAATGTAATTATGTAGAAATTTCACAATGTACGTTTTGTTAACAAAATGTCCGAGCGTGATATATTGACCGGCAGAAATGCTAACTTGACGGTTTTTCCGCTTTCATCTTGTAATACCCTTTTTTTTACCCATTACCGCATTTTTTAGTATAATGGACCTTAAGAGTTTGTATGTCACTGAATTTTCATGACTTTGGTGAGATCTATCGTCTTTTGATATTGCCATATTTTTTTTTCTAGTAAGCGCGGCAAGGGT